TGGCCCTTCAAACCGTACGTGCTGGAGGTAGGCTGAGAATGCGAATTAGTGCCTGCGGATCGGATCAAATGGTCAAAGTTGGGCGGCTCGCTCTGCCGCCCGCCGTGGTTCTTTATTACTGAGGAGCTCAGCAAGTCGTAACGTGAGTCCCACTGCCATTCCTGTTAAAATAATTCTGCGGCATTTCTTCATCCAGCTGCTTTCGCAGATACATGGGAAAAAGTCCTTCTGATAGTTTTTCTGAACGAATAATTAAAACAGAACTTTGGGAAGTGTGCAGTTATACTCCAGCATCCATCTTTTGATGGAGCACGATTACTATATTTGGCAATACACATTCAGATGCTCTGACTCATGTATCTGTGAAGAAATATAGATTCAATTTGCTCTGGGAATGCATTTAACTCCCTCAAATTTTTCTCAAATCAATAAAAAAGTTAGCGCATTATTTTGGAGAGCCTGAGAAGCTTGCCAAACCTTTCGACTTCCAGGGACTACCTTGCAGCAACTTCTTCTCTTCATCAAAAATCTTATGTTCAGGGCCAGTCTTAATAGAGACAGTGAAATAAATTTTGTGAGACCTTTCTGGAAAAATGCCTTTCCCCTTTGAGTCGCAGAGCTGTAGAAGCAGCAGCTTCACCTTCCCGTACCACCCATCAGTAGATGGGCAGAGATGGAGGGGCACGTGGAGCCCTCCCATTCCAGTCACCGCTGCCACAGCTTTCAGTCTGCTCCTGCCTGAATGCCTGCCTGGCCCTTGCCTGGCCATGTGCTCCTTCCCCAGCAGGAGCGGGATGGACTGCTCCACCTGAGGATGAGGAGGCTCCCCAGGCAGTGGAACCAGGGACATGTATCCTGGGAAAGATATAGGGATGCTGCCCAGATGTGTAGCAGTGGGATCAGGAAGCTAAGGCACAGTTGGAGCTGAATTTGGCAAAGGATGCAAAGAATAATAAGAAGGGCTTCTACACATATGTTGGCCAGAAAAGGAAGATTAAAGAAAATGTAGCCTCCTGGTAAATAAAATGGGAGAGCTGGTGACAAAAAACACGGAGAAGGCTGGGGTACTCAACAAATTATTTGTCTCAGTTTTCAGTGGTAATCTCTCTTCCCACATCTCTCAGACCCCTGAACATCAAGGCAGGAACTAGGGGAATGAAATCCCTCCCATTGACAGCGAAGATCAGGTTCGAGACCTCCTGAAGAACCTGAACATACACAAGTCCGTGGGACCTGACAAGATGCATCCCAGGGTCCTGAGAGAATTGGCTGATGTAGTTGCCAAGCCACGCTCCATCATATTTGAAAAGTCATGGCAGTGAGGGGAAGTCCCCAGTGACTGGAGAAAGAGAAACATCACACCCATTTTTAAAAAGGGTAAAAAGGAGGACCCTGGGAACTACCGACCAGTCAGCCTCACTTCTGTGCCCAGTAAGATCATGAAGCAGATCGTCCTGGAACACATTTCAAAATGTAGGAAAGACCAGGAGGTGATTAGGGACAGCCAACATGGCTTCACCAAGGGCAAATCATGCCTGACTAATCTAGTGACCTTCTACGATGGAGCGGCTGAATCAGCGGACAGAATAAGGTCTACAGATGTCATCTACCTGGACTTATGTAAAGCTGTTGATATGGTCCCCCACAATATTCTTGCTGCTAAATTAGAGAAACATGGGTTTGATGGATGGACTGTTAGACAGATAGAGAATTGGCTGGATGGCCACATCTGAAGAGTTACAGTCAATGGTTCAATGTCCAGGTGGACAACAGTAATGAGTGGTGTCCCTCAGGGGTCTGTACAGAGACAAATACTATTTAATATCTTCATTAACAACATACATAGACGGGGGATTGAGTGCACCTTCAACAAGTTTGCAGATGACGCCAAGCCGTGTGGTGCGGTCAACATGCTGGAGGGAAGGGATGCCATCCAGAGGGACCTTGACAGGCTTGAGGAGTGGGCCCATGTGAACCTCATCAAGTCCTGCACCTGTGTCAGGGCAATCTCCACTCTCAATACAGGCTGGGGGATGAAGGGGTTGAGAGCAGCCCTGCAGAGAAGGACTCGGGGGTACTGGTGGATGAAAAGCTGGATGTGAGCTGGCAATATGCGTTCGCAGCCCAGAAAGCCAACCGTATCCTGGGCTGCATCAAAAGCAGCGTGACCAGCAGGTTGAGGGAGGTGATTCTGCCCCTCTGCTCCGCTCTGGTGAAACCCCACCTGGAGTACTGCGTCCACCTCTGGGGTCCTCAGTACAAGAAAGACATGGACCTGTTGGAGGAGGGCCATGAAAATGATCGGAGGACTGGAACACCTCACCTGTAAAGACAGGCTGAGAGAGTTGGGTCTTTTCAGCCTGCAGAAGAGAAGGCCCTGGGGAGACCTTATTGTGGCCTTTCAATATATGAAAGGGGCTTATAAGAAAGATGTAGAGAGACTTTTTACCAGGGCCTGCACAGGGCTGTGGATGTGGGGTGTGAGGCAGAAGGGGCAGAAATGTGGAGGGGGTCAGGCTGTTGTGGGGTGGGGGGTTGATAACAGGAGGGTGGAAGATGCATGGTTTGCCTCCTGCTTCCTTCAGGGTGCTAGGAAGGCAGAGGAAGCTGAGGGCACAAGTTGAAAATGGGCACTGGAGACCTCAGCCACAGAAGGAGGTGAACTGTCTCTGAAGAAGAAGGAAGAGCACTGCCTTTTATTTCACTTGGGCTCCCAGGTTGGCAAGACCTGACCTCCCTACCTTTGTAAATGCATTCATATCCGTTTACTTGGACTGATAAACATGTTATTGTATCAGCTCAGAAAATTGGTGCCCTGACTTCTGGGCAGGAATAAAATGCTAAATCATGATTTATTCTTGTTCTGGAGAAACTTGCTGGCTCCTGACAAGGTAGGAGCCTGTGCAGTTCTTCTCAGTCACTGATGTGATTACTAGACTAAGCCAGCCACTGGGACTTTCACGGTCTTGATTTTGAGTGAGGATATCTGGGATCCCAGTCTTGCAGGGAAATAGAGAGGTGGCAGCATTATGTGAACCCATGCAGCATTGATCCAGCAGCAGGAGGAGGACTTTCTTTTGCCCTGTTAAACACAGCGGCATATTTGCAGTTTGTGACATTATCCAACTAATATTTGATCTTCTTTAACCTGAGCCAGTGCCATGTTTGCAGATATGCATCATTTCTTTAAAAAAGAGTTCACAGCATGAGGTGGTTGGAGAAGAATGATCTCAGAAAATGCATGGATTGCATGGTTGTATGATTTATAGGTATAAGTTAAGTATGAATCCTGCCATTCACAATTGGGGATCTCAGTACTGCAGGGACTCTACTTTTTATGAATTTGAAGCCTGACAAGGTATTCCCCCCCCCTTTTTTTTTTGAGGCTTCTCCAAGTTACTAGTGGTGATAAAAAAGGGGGAAGACCTCATTTAAAATATCGTCTTTGCTCCTCTTTCATTATACTATTATTCCCAGGACTTCCACCAGCATCTGACATTTTTAAAAATTGACATTAATTGTCCCAGCTCTTGTTGTGAGTGGACCAAGTGGGCAATAAACACAGTAAGAGTGCATTGCATGAGTAGCTTCAGGAGTGTCAATACAGTGTAAGGACCCAAAGTAAATATGATGAAGTTTAGCCCCTGAAGAAGCTATGTATTATGTGACAACATTTTCCAGTGAAAAGTAATTGTGGGTGCATTGCATTAGTATTTGTATTCTGACAGGAGTGGCATTGATCTGTGAGCTTATAGGTACAAGGCGCAATACTAACACAAATTATTAAAGCGGTATTTCTGACCAAAGGGCTCACAATCACATAGTAAGTGATACAGACCACTGAGAGAAAAATCTTTTCAGTTCCCATTGACACTGATAGGAGTCCTATTGGTCTCGCTCTTCATCATCAAAATAAATGTGTCAAATTCAAGCAGAAAATCCGACGGTGATAATTCAGGCTGTTCTCCACTGTGCACAGAGGAGCATGTTAGCAGAGAAAGCTCTTTGCACTAGATTCATCAGGGGAACATCTAATGGGTTCATTTCCTGACCTGTTTTGAGGACTTCACAGATTCCAAGAGAAGCACACTGGAAAGCACACTAAGCTGCACTGGGGGAAGCCCAGAGGTCCCACGGCACTCATCCCCATGGCCTTACTGCAGCGCCCACCCACTGCAGGATGTCCTGCAGTCCCAGTTCAGTACCTGTGGGCAGGATTGATGTGAGCTGGCATTTTGAGAAATAAGCTGCCCAGATTAGCTAGTGAGAGAAGTGGAGGAGGGTGGAAATCCCTCTCTTCTCAGGGCCCTGTGTTAAATTTGAGTTTATAGCCAGGCGCTGAGTTTGCTCTTTTCAAATACAGCACCAGGCATGGTTTCTTCTTCCAGAGCAATGATGCTGGTGGTGATGGCAGTGCCCTCCATGCAATGATTCTCTGCTCTGAGGACAACTTGCATATATTGCAGCATGCAGTCGCAGTATAAGATGCATAAGCCACCCTCAGGTTCCTGAGTTAGCACAGGACTCCCCTCTCCCCAGTGACAGCCCCCACAGAGATGCATCTCTTCTCTCTCTCCCTCTCCCTCTGAACAAATCTTGTTCCCTGCCTCCCAGGTTTGCATATCATACACTGGAGAACACTTCCACAGCCAACCAAAGCAATCTAGATATAAACTGGGGACTGAAATGCATATGTGCCTCTCCTACTTCTTAGTGTAGACCTATGGAACTCAATAGCTTTTGAATGTACATGCACACCGACACACAGATCTAATCTTGGGTACAACCTAAGCT